AACTTGAACATTATTATATTTTATTTATTTTCCACTTATTATCAAATTTTTAATAGATTTTATTTTAGAGAGTACAAATGTACATGTATAGGATAAAATTGCATTTACAACAAATCATTGCTTATATAATATAAGAAATATAAATAATAATAAAGATATTGGATAAACTTCCACAAAAATGTCCAACGCCCAACTACAATGAATTTTGGCAATACTCTAAATGTCGTCAAATAAATGCCCTTAAATGGATTTTTACCGATAAGAAAGTTTAGTGTCAACAATGTTTAAATAAAGTTATATGCCGCCTGAATAGATTACCTTTACTACAGCTCACTATAAATCACTTCCGAGTAACCTTCGTGACTTTGACCTCCAAAAAGATGTACCCCATCTGCGCCCCGAAGCAGGAGGGAAGGTAGGATGACAGTCGCTTCGCATGGAAAGTAGTGCGTCCCTAGGCAGGAGGAAGATAGAATGGATCTTGCTTTGTGGAAAGTCAGACGTTCCTTGACAGAGCGGAGATGGGGTGAAACTCGCTTCGAGTGAAAAATCGTGCGCCTCTTAGCAGAAGCGAGATGGGGTGATCGCTTCGCATGGAAAGTTGGACGTCCCTAGGCAGAAGGGAGGTGGAGTGGACTTCGTTTTGCAAGGAAAGTTGGGCGCCTCTAGACACGGAGGCAAAATTTACGAAATTCCATTTTAGCGATACGTAACTTTGTGTAAACATTTTTTATATTAAACCTTCATGTCGGTGAAAATCCATTTAAAGATATTCATTTGATATCATTTAGAGTACATCTACCAAAATTCATAACAATCGGACGGTTTTGAACGTTCATTCAAAATATCAATTGTGTGTGTGTGTGTGTGTGTGTGTATGCGTGTGCGTGTGCGTGTGCGTGTGCGTGTGCGTGTTCGGGTGCGGATGCGGGTGCGTGTGCGTGTGCGTGTGCGTGTGCGGGTGCGGGTGCGGGTGCGGGTGCGGGTGCGAGTGCGGGTGCGGGTGCGGGTGCGGGTGCGGGTGCGGGTGCGGGTGCGTGTGTGTGTGTGTGTGCGCGTGCGTGCGTGCGTGCGTGAAAAAAAAATTATTATCTAATTTGTATGTATAATAAGCGCTCAAAATCTATAGAAACAATCACGTGATTTGTTCTTGAATTTACAAAATTATTTTTTATTAAATACTATAATTATACAGGATAGATAATTTTATCTTTTCTTTCCTTTCATTTAGGTCGCTTACACATTGACATTTAACTATAGTATAGTGATAATAATAGGATTATCGCGACATATAGCTGTCGATTTTTATTTAACACAAAGAGCGTATAGATGCGAATTAATAATTTCCACGAGAGAAATCCGATTGTCTAAATTCCCGATTGCACACACCACTCATATCAGTTGATGTGCCTAGTAATTTTTCCACTGCTTTACCAATAAGAATACTTAATTTTTAAATTGGCCAATTAGCGATGTATGTGCGCAATATGCGATGTACGCAATCAGAACCCTCCCAATTTCCGTGTCCTCCCCCCTCCTTCATCCCATGAATTCTTTTTGCTTATATGACGTGAACTAGTTTAGTGAGCCTCGGACACGAAAATGTATTTATGCGACTACCGCTCGACCCCAACTCTGTCTACTAAAAATAAAGGCAAAGGCAAATTTTGAAACTTACTGAAGCTAGCCGCCGGCTGAACGTGATCCGCAGTCGTGGCTGCGGATGGTGGGGTGTAGCTGTTGCAGTAGTATGGTGGGTGCTCTATTTTGATCGCGTTTATTTGAGGCTGCATGTCGCTGAGGTCATGCAGTATGGACGCTGAAACCAGACACATATTAGCAACTACGGTTCTTACCACGCTCGTACGTGTGTCATTCGTTTTCCTTGCACTCCACGAGTACAATCTACGATTGCGAAAACAGCACTTCCGTGCAAAAACCAACCGAGAAAATGAAAAAGAAAGAGAGAAAGAGAAAGAAAGAAAAGGAAGAAAGAAAAGGAGAAAAATTAATCATTTTTAATACCTTTAATAAATATATAAAAAGAAATAGTCCAAGAAATATCCGCAAAAAGCGGAATTAAGTAAGTTGCAATTCTCTCTCAGCTATCAATCTATATAATCTAACGCATATATGTAGATAATAAATGCACGCGCGAAAGACGTATTAAAATGCTATACTGTACTAAATGTACTAAAATAAAGACGTGTAGAAAACATTTTTTTTTTCTTTTCAAAATACTGTAGTATGTACCTCGAAGATTTTTTTTGTGCTAAACACGATTTCGAGCGCGATTCCATTATCAGAATTTGCGTAGCATGTTAAGGTTTCGAGAAAATAAAAATGCATAAAGGAACACGATAGTGTCGCTGTGCTTATTTTAGTACTAAGACATTATCGTGTCTTCTGATAGACAAAAAAATAGCATTTTTTTCCATTTTCAACAATTTTTTTGCAAAAAAGAAAAATTATTTTTAAATAAAGTCTATGCTAAAAATACAATTGTAGAACTTTCAAACAAATTTTATTTTTGATTAAATGACTCTTATTATTTTAAGAAATCAAGTCGAGGCTGTTTGAATTTTAAACTTTCTATATGTAATCTACAATACAAGAAAGACAAATACTGTGTCTATTTAAATGTCAGCGAATAAATATTTATAATTTAAATTTAATTATAAAAAATATTTTAAACATACAAGTTTTGGATATATATAACTACGAGTACTACATACACGATTACACAATCAAGCTGTAATTTTAAAGTTGTCAGAATAGTGGAATCATTGATTTTAAAACTTTCTGAAACAATTTTTTAACCTATTTATTTATCTTTATATGTGTATATATGTGTGTAAGTTTATTATAATTATTTATTACAATTAAAATAATTATAATTATAACTATTTATTTGATGCCATGTAATTGAGTATGGATTTCCCCCTGTCCAGGTAGCACAAAGAGTACAAACCTAGACTGCACAGAATATTTATGATAAATATTTATTACTATTTATTACTATTTCTAAAATGTTATTTAAATATTTTATACATATTTTACATAAAGCTTCATTCAAAATATTGTTAAAATATAGACTAAATTTTATGTAATATTTATGATAAAGATTTCTAGTAAATATTTTTTACATGGATTATAATGTGTCTTATTGAGTATTTTTATAGCATTTACTATAATATATATTTACAAAAAATATTTCATAACACTTATAATAAATATTTGTGATCTGTGCCATCTAAAATCACAAAAACATTTATAAAATATTTAAAATAAGTCTTATAAATATTTACAGAATATTTGTAAATATTTTATAAATATTTAGTGCTGTCTGGGAAAATAATTTTTTTTAATTCAGTCATGTGTCATAAATCCTGAGTTTATTTTCAGATGTAAAAAAAATTGATTTTCTGAAAAAAGTTCTGAAAAGAATTTTTTGCATTTGAAAATGAATTGATGACAATAAAATTATTTTTTAACTCTTTGTGCTATATGAGTTTCTTATATTGTGAATTATACAGAAAATCTCTAAAAATAAAACAGCCATAACTTGATAAAAAAATAAATCATACAATCATAACATAAAATTAATTCACAGTCTCGTGAATTGTACCTTAAAACGTTAACTATATTCAAAAACAAATATTTTTATTGAAAAAAATAATGAGAATGCCTAAAAACATCATTTTTGCCTATTTACTCACCACAATTTACTCAAAATCCTATACTATAATGAACTTTATACTATATCAAATAAAAAATATTTAAAAAATGTTTTATAAATATTTATTTAATGATTTTATAAATTTAGAAAAATATTAAATAAATGTTTAAAAAACATTTTTTAAATATTATGTACTGATTGTGTACCAGAATGCTTAGAAGTCGGGCACAAAGAAAAAAAGATGCATGCATTAGACAGAAAAAAATAAACATTACTTAACTATCTCTTTCTTCTTCATATCTGACCTCGAAATATTGCGGTATAATTCCAGTTTATTACATTATATAGGGTGTAAAGCTACATCGCACACGTATCATGATTTTCATGCCCATTTCCTTGCATGACCAATGCATAGTATGTACTTTGCTCCATCATACGAAAGTATCATCCATAGTGACAAAGTTGTTTAATAATTCATTAACGCAGGCTCATTTTTATGTACTTTTATTAGTACTACTATTTGGTCTTTATCCTAAGACATTTTGTCGTTTAACGTAAATTGTAAGTTAATTGAACAAATTGATTTATTGTACATACGAATTATAAACTAAAGAAGGGAACAAAGAAGACATTAATCTATACATCATGTATATATGACACCAATCAATCACGTAACTATTTTTAACATTTGATTGGCAAGTGTAAGGAAACGCGAGGCATGAAATACATCATATCAAACACAGAAATCAAGAATAAGTAGCATATTCCACTTAATGCATGGAGGTGTCTAACAGAGTTGGAAAGTAACTACTTACTCATAATTAAGTTACAGTTACAGTTACTTTTTTTCAGTAGCTGTAACTTAACTTAGTTCCTTTTTTTCTATATGTAACTGTAATTTAACTTAGTTACATTTCTTCCAATAATTAGTAACTAATTTAACAGTTACTTTTGCAGTTACTTTACATTTTAAACTTATTTGTCAATTTAATGTGATTGGTTAAAATTTGAATACTGATTAAGAATACGGTCTACTACAAATGCTTCGAAGTATTTTTTGATTGATCAGTAAATTGTAAATGTAAATTATTTTTTTTTTTTTTTGATAGCCTTAATGATATGTATATTGATTTCGCTCATATTGTTCTGTCATGATAACAGAAAAATAATTGAAAAGTTACTTTTTTAGTAATTATACCGAATTAATTTTTAGTCTCGGTAACTTAAAACTGTGTAACTAGTTATTTTTACAAAGTAACTTTCCCAATCCTGGTATCTAGCATGCATCAGAGGGAGCAATGCACTTACACACAGTTCAATTGCACACATCGGCCAGAGTTCCTAGTATTTTTTACTGCTTTACTAATGAGATTATATTATTCTAAATTAATCAATTAGATGTGAGCAAATGATATATACTCGCATCAGGGCAGACACAGCACCCCATTATGTAGAAAATTATGCGCGCTTTCATCGTGTGAGCTCAGCTTAATAAAGCAACCGAACTCGTTTTTCAAAAAATGTACATTTTCTTGAAAACGTTCCAGACAAAAGTTGTAGGATTTTAAATAGCGCACTTAATAGCAGGGTTGGGAAGTAACGCCGATAACGTCATTACTTTCTTTCAGTAACGAATGAGTAATTCGGTAACGATGTTACATTTCTTCAGGGTTAGGTAAGTTAAGTTTTTTTAAAACTAAATTAAATTAAAGTTAATGGCTTATAAAATTAATGGAATTAAGTTAAAAGTTGAAGCAATAAAAAATTAACTAAATGGAAGTTAAGTTATGAATTAACATAAGTTTAAAAAAAAAGTTAATTTAAAAAAAAATTATTTTTGAGATCAGAATGTCCTACTTTTTCTTAAAATGAGATTACTTAAGTAACACTTACAATATAGAATATTATAGGTAAATTTAATTTTCTTATTCACATGTAAGTTACTTATACATATTCTTATTATATAATAAGAGTCACAGCATAAGGTGTTTTTGCTAAAATCTTGCAAGAAACAAGGGTATATATTTGCATTTATCTCTCTTTCTTTAATCTTTATCTAACTTTCTATCGTCTGAAATAACTGCTCACGCATGTTTACATTGACTAGATATTTGTTACAAAAAATATACATAAAAATTTGGAAAATGGATAGATGTGCAGCACTGTTTTACAACAATTCTTTATCTAAGGCTCATGTCATATTTATATTGCTGAAATATAACGTACGTTTATGACACCTAAAATTAGTATAATTTAAATATAAAGTGGGAATTGACAAAACCTATAATAGTGAGCCAATAAAAATTCACTACCGTATGGTGTGATTCTTATTATAGAGTCTCTAACAATAAAATCATTGAATTTTTTTAAATTAATTCTCTAATGTTTAAAATTTTATAGAAAACAATATTAGCTTTAAGAAAAATAAAAAAATTTTTAATTAAAAAAAAATTAATAAATTGAAGTATAAAAGTAACTACATTAAATTATAAATTGATATATTCAAAATTAATTAAGTTAAATTAAAAATCAGCAATTGTTTAACTAATTTTTTAACTTTGAACGTTTTAACTAGTTACTACCCAACTCTGTCTTTCTTTAGTAACGTTAATAATAACGTAGTTACATATTTTAAGCAACGGTAACAATTTGGCTCATTACTTTTATCGTTACTATATTTCTAGCGTATATGTTAGGATTGTGTGAGGACCAATAAGTGTGTTCTTTTCAGCTGAATTTTTTG